CGTTATGTTGCATCAACAGCAAATCAGCGAATTGAGTGCTGGTGGTCCAGTTTGAGACGAAGTCGTACATCATGGTGGATAAACTTTTTTAAGGATTTATCTGAAAGAGGGGTGTACATAAGTGGTAACATTTATCATAATGAATGTCTTTGGTTTTGTTTCAATGAAATTCTACAACAGGACTTAGATTTTTTCAGGGTTCATTGGAACACTCATTACATTCGTCAATCAAGACACGATACAATCGCAGGGAAACCTGACGAACTTTTTTTCTTGCCTGAAACCTTTGGAGGTGAAGACCAAATGCAACCAGTTACCGATGCACAACTGGAAGTGGTAGCTTCTCATTGTGAAGAGCCTATTGTTGATAATGATTACCAAAGTTACTTTAATTATGTTGTTGACCTTCAACAGCTGGCAAAACCAAGAAATTGGAAGGAATGCCTAAATTTGTTTGAACATTTACTGAATTACAACACCTAGTTTTTGAATCATAGATCTGCTTAAAAAGACAGGAAAATAATTTATGCTAAGTGACATTGATTAATCAACAACAATTTATGGTATATATTATGTAATATGGTTGAATTTCTATATTACTTTTTTCTATTGTCATGTTATAGTAATAACTGCAGTTAATTAATATGAACTTTAATATTAACTTTTCAACAGGAATTTACAACAACTAAATTGACGATGCACTATATTAATGCGAATATTAAGAATTATCATCAATTAATTTGATTGCGAATTTCAGTTATCATTAATTAAAATTTGTTTTATTGTAACACTAACTCTTTTAATATAAAAAAATCAACATACAACGTAAACTAAAAACCTCAGTCTTCGTCACTTAATTCATTATCACAACCGATTCGTCAGTACCCTCATTGTCACTATTGTTATTAATTAACATTTTGTTTCTGTTGTTGAAGATGGCATATTGTGAACACTGGACTGGACTTTGGACTTTTGATTTTGAAATTATATTATTTTTAAGATTTTCGTATAATTATATTAATTAAAATCTAAACAGAGAACGAAAATTTGTGCATGATATAAGAGGGACCTGAAGGGGGGTCGTATTCCCATTCAGTCCCAGCCCAAATTTTGACTAAATCCCATTGTCCCAGAGCACAAATCCCATCATCTCAGTGGCTGTCCTGCTCAAATCTTAATCCCATTCCCATCAGTTTTCTATTGTTTTTTTTTGCTGATGAATCCCAGTCCCAGTGCATGAATCCATTTTCCCACCCAAAAATAAGCAAATCCCAGGTCCCATTTTACCCCTTCAGGGCCCTCATATAATATTCAAGGTAAAAAATACTATCAGTTTATATATAGGATACCAGTCCAATTTCATAGATATAGCCTGTGGGATTATACAATTACTTTATGGTTTCCGTGTTTGGATGGCCTGATCCAAACACGCGGGAATGTTGCGAGGGTTAAGAAAAGCGAGCGAAATCACGAGCCGAAGGCGAGTGATTTTGCCCGCTTTTCTTAACTCGAGCAACATTCCCAAGTGTTTGGATCATTCCATCCAAACACGGAAACCATAAAGTAATTGTTTTATAAAATAACAACAACACGATAGTCTTCCGTGTTTGGATGGCCTGATCCAAACACGGGTTTCGACCAATCAGAATACGCGTTATGTACATGTTATTTTATAAAACAGGATCATCTCAGTAATATTTTTATTTAATATTTAAATTTTATTATAATATTTGTATTTATAGTATGTATAGTACAGTTTATACTGCAGAACTTCTTCTTTATCGTATAGATAATAGATTTATAGAAACAATTGTGACAAAAGTATCTTCGCAAATACAAAATATTGAGAAACTATCACGTATAAGTATAAACTACACGCGATTATTATTGCGCCTTTGGCTTTGAACAATTATTCGCCATAGGCGAGGCCGTGATTATCGGGGAATTTGTCAAATTTGACCAATCAACTTGACAACTTGTAGGATTTGTTATATATTTATTCACTTGCGCAAAAATACTAATGACGGTATTGTTCATCTTTGCATAATAGTTTACACCGGTTTAGCGCCTGGCTAAATAGGCTGTGTTTACAATGTATTTTGTCTGTGTCAGTTTTAGCTTTTCATAAATGTATTCAGCCATAGTGAACACGAAAACTCTCATAGTCATCATACTTTATAAAATACGAATGTATGATACATTATTAAAAAACTCATTAATAATTCAGGAGCAAAACACAAAGAAAAATCATAAGCGTGTCGTGGTTTTATATGTGATAAAAAATCATGTTAATTTACATAAAGTTTAGCTTTGATTTTCTCGGTTTAGACAAAGTTTATTTTAAAAATTACTTCGCCAATGAACTCGTATAAGATGATTCGTTTTTTAAGCCATTTAAAGCACTCGTAGTCGTGTTTTCATCACATATAAAACACTCCGCTACGCGTCGTGTTTTATATGTGATAAAACACTCCTACTCGTGCTTTAAATAGTATTGAATTGGTAGTACTGCATGATTACTTTATGATAATCTATAGTATTAATTTATGTATATATTTGTCTATATTATTGTCTATATATGGCTCTTTTGCGTAAGTTATGCGGCTGGGCATTAATCTTTATACTACGATTACGATTCCCGCCTGGTTCATCACTTGCAAGTGGTAGTATTACAGTAAACGTGGCAAATAGTTGCTAGGCTACCTGAAGCACATAGACATAGATTTTTGCCTTCTCACACACAACTGAGTAGGTCTTAAAAAGTGTGTAAATTTCCATTGGAATATTCCTGTCCATCTACTAACACTTATTAATAATAACTGAAGCACTTAGTCCAGCTTAGTGATAAGGATAGCTAACTAGGATGTCTTTCAAAAATAAGTAACATTAAAACAAAACGTTACTGTGTAATGGAGTAAACAATTACACAATACAGTACTAGTATAAACTATTATGCAAAGATGAACAGTCAATAGATACATAATACAATACTCAATAGGCGCAATAATAATCACTTGTATAGTTAATATTTTGTATTTGCCGAGACACTTTTGTCACAATTGTTTCTGACAATTAATCTATTTACTATTATCTACATGATAAAGAAGAAGTTCTGCAGTATAAACTGTACTTGCATATACTATAAATACAAATATTATTTAAAATTTAAATATTAAATCCCAAAATATTGGATAATCCTGCTATCCTACAGGCTAAATTGCATTGCTGGTATACCTATATAACTGATACTGAGTATTTTTACCTTGTATATTATATCATGCATGTGCATGCAGTGTAGCACGCTTTTCAACAGCAAATTTTCGTTCTCTGTTTAGATTTTAATATAATTATACGAAAGTCCAAAGTCCATAGTCCAAAGTTTACAATATGCCTGTTGAAGATAAGATTCTCGTAAATATAATTAAATTTTAAAAGACCCAGAAGAAATCCGCGTTAATTAGATAATGTAAGTTTACGTCGCGTTAATAAAGTGCATCGTTAATTTCCTTCAAGGTAGATGTTATATCTTATGAACAAAAGTTATGCAAAACAACAATTAACATGTTCAGAAATCACCAATTAAACATCCATGATAAAACAAGCTAGAATCTACAGATAAATCGCAATATGTTCGTGATTTTCTTTTTGAACATTTGTCTTAAGTGCTTAGCACTAGTCTCGTCCTATTAGATAGGAAAAATAGAAATACTTTTCGTTTTCAGATGATCATGGCGCTACAAAATTAAGTATTAAAACATTGAAATCTTTGTCCATTACATGAGTGTTAATTGTACTCAACCAATGTTGACAGTCCTTGATAAAAAATGTCTTTATATCAACTTAATGACCGACAACGGATTACATGTACGTCCTTATTAAGAATATTCAAGGTTGGGTACTGTGCTATATAGTTAGTTCACCATTTTCTTCGTCATTACTGTAACGTGTATATCAAAACATGTATTCAATAAGATATGTCATATGGTGCCAAATCCTGGAGACATAACCAAGCAGGAAGTAAATTCATTCTTGAATGACTCAAACTCCATCAAGGTGCTGTTCACAGGGAAAGTTATGGTATTTGAGCAAGTGTTGGCATGCAACTTTCGATGAGGATCACCGTGCTCAAATTCAATCGATGGCTTTTCGTTGAATCCTGTCGCAGGAACAGTAAAACTGCCAGTAATGAATTGCAAAACATCAGATAGAGATAAAGTTATCTCGGTTTCCTCACCAGTCGTCAAATCTAGTAAGTTACTCTTTGCTTCATTTGCCTCTACAGCATCCAGATAAAGGGAAAAATTTAATGCAACAGCTTCTTCTTGTGCTCTTTTGTTGCTTCCTTCAGGTGAAAAAATGCAGTCGAATAAAGCATCCAACTTTTCAGCAGTGACACGATTTTCTGAACTTGGCATGAACAAATGACGTGCTTTCTTTGGATGCTGACGGATAACATCAAGCATACCACTTAATTTCAATCCCTCTATGAATTGCTCCAGCTCAACAAGACCGGAAAGCAACAAATAATGCAGTGAAATGCAGCGAATAAGGTCATCCTTATCCTCCATTGTGACGATAGGCTTGGCATATCCGGCTTTAAATCGAAGCGAGCAATCAAACGAGGCCACTTTCTTGAACTGATCTGGATCAGAAATTCCCTGTAGCTCTTCAAGCTTCTTTCTGGCCTTGGCATTTGGTACATCTTTAACGCATGTAGATACTTTGTCAAGCTTTCCATACACAATATAATCAGCAACAGATGAGGAGAAAAAACACGGTGATGGTGAATCTTGAAGAATGCCAAGTGCACATAAGTGGCCATAAAGAAGGTATTCTTTCTGCTCCAGTGCGATTATATTATGGTTAAAACACTTACTTTCTGGTTCTCCAACAAAGAGGGAAGATGCAGATACTCCTCTATGTAGCAGGGGAAAAAATTCTTTTCTTGGGCCCCCTTGGTCGACAGCGGGCTCCCCAATAAACTGTACTTTAATCAGTTTGTTGAGATCATTTTCGGCACACCTTTTCAGCTTGAAAATTGTATCGTGCCAAAGATGGCTTCGACGAATCTTGATTCGTAAAGGGCATTCTGGGTCAAACTTACCAGCAGAAAAACATTTGAGGATGGTATATAAGGGAGTATTATCTGAGTCTTTTTGTAAGTCACTGACTGCTTCTAATCCACTTTCGTTTCTCACTAATTCTAAGTTAACGTCAGAGTGTGTGCGTTCGTCTTGCTCTTCATCATTGTCAAATGCATTGCAAAAATCAAGAGCTGCATACACTTGTTGAGGTGTACTACTGGACGGTGAACAAGAAAGAATTCTTGCCACTGCTATCTCAATATCAAAGTTAGCTTGAAGTAAAGCTTCATGGATCATGACTTCATCAAGTTGTGGAAACATCTCCATGAGTGTAGTGAATTGCGTATCTTGACTATCACGAAGAATAGCTGCAGAAAAATCACCAGAATAACATGGTAGTTGATCAATGTTCTCACTGACAACACTGGTTATTTCAACGGGAGATTTCCTTGATTCAGGAACAGCAGCATCCGGATCAACCACAACAACTACATTGTGCGTAGGAGCACTTTTAGTGGAACAAGGACCTGATGAAAGTGTGCTGGCATGAACATCGGCACAAACAACACTGACCTTAGCATTTGAACTAGTCGCTAATGGATGTTGACCAGCATCAACATTTACCAAATAATTAGAAATCACGGGCTGTGCACCGGGACGTTTATATTGTTTTTCACCAGAAGAAATTACTTCCGTTGTATTGGAATTGATGACATCTATACTGTCATCATTTGATTCAATATCACCTGGCAATGAAATGTCAGAGTCGCTCTTTAAACAACGTTGCACGGCCGCTCGAGTATAATCCATAGTGGGACATAAGAAGAATGATATTCTATCATATGGCTTACCACACTCAGACTTGTATTTATGTAATACAAATTCTTCATCACTTTCCTTGAGTTTGTCCACAATTGTTCCGTCCGGGTATAGTATATGGTAGTTGTAACCTGGTTTTATCAAGTCCTGTGAGTGCGCCACATGCTTGTCAGTCGAGACCTTCAAAAGCACATCCTTTGTTGTATTCTTCTTTAAACTGACATGCAATCCTTTAGCACGTTGTTTCTTAAGTCCCATAGATTGATCATATAGCATAATCCCAATGTTTACTCGTACAATCTCGTCAGGATCTTCAACTAGCCGTTTCCTCTTTCCTTTAGCTGGTCTAAAACAAGGTTGGATAAAAGATTTTTTCAAAACTAGAAATTTCTTATATTTAAGACACACAGTCACACATTCCAAGGCACTTTTTCAGAGAAAATGTATATTCACACCAAAAGACTTGCGTGTTCCGTGAGATTATTATGTTAACTGTTCCAAGCTACTAAATTTTATATGGAGTGACTGTGCGCCTATAAAGATAAAGTCAAGACCTGTTTACACTTTACAAAATCTTTGTGGAAAGAACTTATACCGTATAAATTCAAAACAGCAAATGGGGATCGATCAGTTAAAACTGGGAACTAGTGTGACGTTAAGACATAAGAATGAGGACCGCAAAATTCGTTGTTTTGACTCTCGGAATCACTCGGTCAACAAAGTTCCAAAATTTTTAACCTCTTGGAAATTTCTAATATTTCACATTGAAAACCCTCTAAAAAAGTCCTGAACAGTGTTCACTGATACACAAAATTTACAGTCGTGCCAATAGAAGCGTTCCGAAAAATATTGACCAGTTCATTTCCTAACTTGAAGGAACACCTCTGAACAATTCCTTAAAACTTTGAAAATTTCTTTAAAAAGTTCCTAACTTCCTGTTTCATTGACCAATCAAATTTTATTTTTGAGCAATCTGGTTGGTCAATGAAACAGGAAGTTAGGAACTTTTTAAGGAACTTATCAAATTGTTGAGGAATTGTTCTGAGGAACTCCTCGAAGTTAGGAAATGAACTGGTTAACATTTTTCGGAATGCTTCCATTGGCACGACTGTAATTCAACTCTTCAGATTTCTATGTTCATTAATGGAGATCCTCAGAGGGAAATCCTTGATAAAATGCAATTTTTCATCACCTTTCAGAATTTTGATTTTACTATCCCATCAGAAATAAAAAAATTCAAGACACCTCTGAAGATGTCATTAACAGGGGGGTGGGTGCACACATTAAACAGAATGGCCCCAAGTGTTGTTTTTTGACGATGCAACAGTTGATGACTTTAAGTAAAGACTGGTGGCCAAAACTGTATTATAAATTTGTAATTATAATCATTGTGCAGGTTAAAGATTTAGAATTTGTTACTTAGCAAATTAATTTTTAGGTCCTTCCTCCAAACTGTTACAACTTACGCCAGTCCTTCTCCCAGCGGTTTACTCCGTTAGGTAAATAGTAATTTACTTAGTGTAAAATTTATCAATAAAAGCACATTGCGTTAGTTTCTCATTGGTGAACCCGGTTGTATTTCTTCTTTATTGGTGTTAAGTTAATTTAAATACAGTACAATATTGAAAATGACAATTTATGAAGAATCCAAATGTACGTGAATAAAAATTTAACAACAATCAAGAAGATATAATACAGGGTACGCAGCCTAGTCCCAGTCCGTTCTGAAGCAAGCGCGAGAAAAAACGTGGATGTAGTACGAGACTGGGACCTAGGTGTGACGTCACCGCTAAAGGTGCTTCAGAACGCCTAGGAGATTTCATTATTTTTAATATGGCGGAAAATTTAGATATACAAATAACCTTGTCAATACGAAATGTTCGTTGATCATGTTCGATATCTACATAACCAAATTCGAACTGTATTAAAAATGTGCTCAATTTAATATATATAATTTAATATATATATATATATATATATATATATATATATATATATATATATATATATATATATATATATATATATATATATATATATATATATACAAATTTACGATACAGAGTCTGAGCAATGGTCGTATAATCGTTGATGATATGTATACACAACTATGCTTTCTACTTGACAGGTTTCAGCAGCTGAGGAGATTGGAAATATTTGCCTGACATGACTATGTTGTCAAAACATTTTTAATAAGGAGATTCGGCATAATTTTCAAGCTTCTAGATAGCATGTGATATGGCTTTATATTTTTGTAAACACGAGTCATGTTTAGCCCGTTATTCCATTCTGACCGTATGGTAGCGAAACGTTGCGTATTTCATTGTTCCGACAGCATTAGAGCAAAACTAATGATTTAATTATAAACGCAAAGGAAATTTCCATAACATTTTCCATTTACAAATGCGGTATGCTTGGTAACCAGGCCAGGGACCACTTTTTTAAATCAGGGACCATTTTAACGAAATCTCTCTCGCTGAAGCGTTCCGCACAGCACACCCAGGCATAAAACTTTTAAGACTTATTGCTGCCGAGCGAAGCGATGGCAGCCACCTATTCTTGACAACGTTTACAGCTTTTACTCGTGCCAGATCCCCACGCGACTTATGTATTTTAGCCAAAGCATTTGAGATTTGTTTGTCGTTCGTTCGTTCATTCGGGTCGCATTTTCTGACGTCACAGAATTCGAATGACGTTGTGTACAAATTTATATACGCAGGAAGTTTACGATGACAATCCGATTACTTCCGAAAGCTGCGTTCGGTGCGCCGTAGCTTCATAGGAGCTATGACATTTAATTTTGACATGACCATATGGGCCATCGATCATAGCGGCCATATATGACATGTCGCATATTTTTCCATTGCACGAGGCTTATTTTACAATATTACTATTTGATTTTGGAGGAAAAGAATTATATTTTTGAAGGTATGTTGATAAAAATAGTTATTTGAATTTAATAGTCATTTATATATGTAAATGAACGTGATAGTCTGTTTTTAATACATTATAAAAATTCGAATTCTATCTCCTCTAGGTGTATATTTTGTTGTGTGTTCGTGGCGATCATTTGGTCAAATCAAATCGAAAGGTGCCGTTCATATTATGTTTTTCAAAAAAGCAGTGAATTGTGAACTCGCTGGAACTGTACCAAACTTGCTAGCTATGTGTAAACTAGCTATATTTTATACTTTATACTAGCGAAGTTGTGATCTTGCTAGCTTGGCAATCGTCGACGTTGGCAATAATAAAGTTTATACTGATTCTGTCAAAAGATCAAGCCAACAAGGTATTGTATATCAAATTTTACAAATATGTAGGTTGTATGTCAATTAGAAAATTGCCAATAATAAAAATAGTTATATATATATTTATTATATTACAGTAAAATGATTATTAATATTGTTATTAATATGGGAATATGATATGCAGTAATCAAAGCCGTGCATAAAAGACCAGTGAATTTTGACTTCAGCTGAAGTGGTTCTTATATTATCTTACTTCACACTATACTTTTTTATATTCTACGGCGTTGTATTTTGGGTGCTTAATTGCCCAAATTTCAGGCTGGTGGATCTTAACCTACTGGTTCTTTTATGCGGGGCTTTACTGTATATCAAATCAATAGACCTTATGCATAATTAAGGCTTGATGTCTGTGAGGAATGCTGGTCTTAGTAGTCATCACGGTCCACTGAAAATGTCGATAGTGGCCATTTTGAATTGTTTAATTTTCCTGGGCGATTACTACTAAAGCCCTGGGACCTGGGCAAACTAAGAAACATTGTTGCGGAAACATTGTTTCTTGCCAATGTTTCGCCATGTTTCCCAGAGTGGGCAAACACTAGGAAACATTAGTGCGAAACATAGGGAAACATCAAATGTTTCTGAATTTGCTAGGAAACATATTTGCTTCTCGGGAAGCAAATTTTGTTCCCGCAACAATGTTTCCATGGGTGAGCAAACAGGGAAACATCTGAGGAAACATCACGAATCACAAATGTTTCCGCAACAATGTTTCCTAGTTTGCCCATAGCTTAAGACCAGCATTCCTTGTGACATCATAATATGCCTAGCCTTGTGACATCATAATATGCATAAGGTCAAATGAGCAGTAAGATGTCCAAATTGGAATACACAATTGTACACAAATGAAAAATTATCTGACTTTTTTCCATAATGCTCACAATTTCTTTCTTGTTATATAGTTTTACAGTTCTGACTGAGTACAATCTTAATCATTTATAAAAAGAATGGTGTCATATGAAGTTGACGTATTAAACAATTGCAATCTTAATCATTTACACAATGAATGGTGTCATATGAAGCTGACATATTAAACAATTGCAATCTTAATCATTTACACAATGAATGGTGTCATATGAAGCTGACGTATTAAACAAAAATGTCAACAAAATAGATTTTGTCTCCCCATCGGCAGATTGTTCCGTTGTTCTGTGGTAGCCTTGAAGGGGCCATTAAAATGATATTTGGGACAAAAACTGACTTACTGGTAGTATTTCTATGTATGAAATTGTTATTAAATTCTACATATCAAATGATTCATTCAAGTATGAATTATTATCGTTTGTTATATGATATTGTACAGTATTCAGTGGCAAGCTAGCCATGATAATTGGTCATGATATGCTAATAAACCTGCATCTATTTGAATAATGCAAATCATTAAAAACTTGCATAGCATGACCTGTAGACTTTCACAAAGTCCTTCATCTTTGTTTAGAACGAAGGAATTTTCAAGGAAGTAATTTCTTGAAGAATAAGGAATTTGTGGAAGTCAATACAATTCGAATAATATTTAGCTGAGCTTCGATTTTGTGCAAAGTGTTTTCATATTCAAATTGCACTTTTCCTACCTCCTGAACAGGTGTCACAGGGGTGCTTTATGTGATGGAAGGTGGGGGTGGGGAGGCAGCACTTTCCTTGCGATAGTAATTTCTAGTTTAAATATATCACAGCAGCGAATAGAGAGAGAGCCTGGGACTAGGCTGCAGGGTACGCATTAGAGACAAAAAAATTGATTTGAAAATTTCCTTTACGGAAATTCAAGAAAACTTCAATTTTGAAACATTGAAGCAAAGCATGCAGCAAAATTCAAAATGGCACATTTTTCACAAAATCTTGGGGACGTTCCATATATAATATACACCCACCTGTGTATGAGTTTCTCTGAAAGTTGGCTTAAAATCAATAACCCCCCTGTAGACGAGTTTTTCTGAGGGTTGGCTTAAAAGCAACAAATTCTAAGGGTTGAAGTAAATGAAGGTTCTTATTTCTTACAGGTGAGCCCTGCCAAGGTGCTTTTCTGAAGAGGAGCAATTAAAATACGAGATTTCTTGGGGTTGAAAGCGGGAAAAAACTTTTTTCTCAAGAGTTTGGGGAAGTTTTGCCTAAATTTATGAGGGTCTTCCTAAAATGCAAGAAATTTTTTAAAGGATCCCCCTTAAGCCACCTTAAATTAAGTAGGGGACTCCACGGTGATTCGTTTGGCTGTATATTACATGCAGTATCCATGAGTATGAGTGCGCATGTCAAGTAGCGACAATAACAAAAAATGCAAACAATACTTTAGGTGGCTTTTCGACTAAAAAATGGCTGTAGGGCCCCTTTACGATCGTGACTAAAACACCACACGAGTACATATGAGTAACATACAAGTAACACACGAGTACATACGAGTAACACACGAGTATCATACAAGTACACACAAGTAACATACGAGTACACACGAGTAACATACAAGTAAATACGAGTACGTACGAGTACATAGGAGTAAAATACGAGTACATACGAGTAAAATACGAGAATTAGCACGCTTTCTTTAAAGTTTCTTTCACTTTGGCTTCGTATTATGTTCATGTTGTAAATGCCTTATTGACATAGGCATACGAGACAGGGGGCGGAGGGGGGGGGCAACTGCCCACCCCAAATTTTGGAAAACCATGGAAATTCGGACAAACGCTAGGAAAAATCAAGAAAATTCGGGCAGATTTATGAGAAAATATGTTAAAATCAGGTTATTTCTTTACAATTCTCCATAAAAATTTGGGCAAACTTTTAACTGCCCCCCCCCCCAGAAAACATCAGCCCTGTTCTCCTATGCGTATTGATGGATTTCGAAGCCTCGCACGACGTAGAAAAAGTAATTCATTAATATAGAGTTTTTGTAGTACATGAAAGTGCATGTTTGCCATGTTGTTTATACGCCTGTAGTCTATTATGTGTTTTGCAAATTTAATACGTCAATTGTACACCGGGAAATATAAAATACTTAGGGTTCATTATTTATCGAGGGGGGGGGGGAGCTGGTGGATTCTAAAATTCAAACAGCATAATAAAAATGGCCCTCCCTTTTAATGTGTTTAAAAATGTAGTCCACCCGACCACCCCTTCTGAAAATTTTTCACCCCCCTCCACTGATTAAAGTCAAGAAGAACATAGTGTGACCGTATGGTAGTTCTTCCCATCCTATTCTTTTGTGTGCTCTTTACAACCAGGGGCGTAGAGAGGACCTTCAACTTGGGGATGCTGGACAGGACTTCGCCAACGGGGGGTGAAATAAAAAATTCAAATCCACAATATAATTGTGTATAACCTTGTCCAAATAAGTAGATATGGCCCCAAGAAGAAAGGGTTTACTAAATGTAGAATATATTTACTTTCAATAATCATTCGGTTTTAAAAGTAATTCGCATTATTTTAACCCATCATTTTCCATCACGAAAAATCATGTCTTTTATGCATTATACAGTCTTCCGACTTAGGGAATGGTCATTATTTATGGGGGGGGTTGGGAAATGGGGAAAATAAGGATTGAAAACTTTTTTGACCCCCCCCCCTCCAGACTGAAGGCAAACTTTCTGTGCCCCCCCCCTCATAAAAGTAGAAATTTTTCTGACCCCCCCCTAATGTGGATTAAAAAATTAGCAGCAATGAAACAAGTGTGCATTGCAGGTAAAGTTAGATATTACGACAGTCAGTTTAATCTAGCTCATGATGTTTTACCCTGGTGAATATGATTCAACCATATATGATTAAAAATATATATTATGTGTTACTACTTTGCAATGTAACATTTGTCCTACCATAACCCTAACCCATGACCCGTCTTCATACAGCGAAATGAATTGAACACAGGGTTTTTTTAAGAACTTGTCTGGGGGGTGGGCATCTACAAAAAGGGACCATACTATATTGAGTGTGGAGAGATGACTGTTCCCGCTTCTGGGGACTGAGAACTGGCGCGAGCCCTGAGAAACTGTGAGGGGCCCCCGGCAAAAGAATTCAGTATTCGCACATTGTTGACTTTTGGACGATTTTAGTATTTTGGACAGTTTTACGTACATTTTATGGTTATTTTGGGGATTTGTTTCGATTGATATTACAATGTTTTGTTGATTTTGAGTTCGTGTGAGTGTGTTTGGTCGCCCCGCGACATTTGGTCCTATTCGAGCCTGGATTAAAGACTAGTATTGAGAGAGTTTCAAGTGTACTTCACGTGAGTTTTAATGTACTATTAATCAAGTCTATTCAAGAAATCTACATCGAGTTATATTGTGAAAATTGTGTGAGTTACTTCGCCCAAGAGACATCAAAGACGTCTATTTGTGAGTACATTTTATAACAGTGTTATTATTTGAACGAGTTATACGGTTTTAAATCCTGGATTAAAGACTGTTATTGAGAGAGTTTCAAGTGTACTTTGCGTGAGTTTTAATGTACTAAAATCGAGTTTATTCAAGTGTAAATCTACATCGAGTTACAGTATATTGTGAAAGTTGTGTGAGTATCGCCCGAGAGACATCAAATACGTCTATTTGTGAGTACATTTTATAACAGTGTTATTATTTGAACGAATTATACGGTTTTAAGTCCTTGGAAAACAATAAACTGTGCAGTTTATGTGCATACAATCTATTGAATATATATACATCGAGCCGTTAATTTAATACAGTGGGTCGAAGATCAAATTCTATTGTTGTTCCTATGTACTAAATGAGTAAAAGTAAGGACGGTGAGAGTATTATTACGCAGTTAGAATCCATAACAAATCAAGATCAATCATTGTGGATGGCAGAGAAACAGCCTAGTACAGATGTAAACAAAGGAGATGAAACTAATATGTCAGTTAGATCTAAGACTAAGTCAAAACAATCGGGTGTATCCAGTATTTCAACTGCCCGAAAAGCGGCAATATTATCAAAGAAATTCGAAGCTGAAAAGGCAGCTCTTCGTTTAAAGTTGTTGGAAGAGGAGAGTGTACAGTGTCAGGAAGAGGAAAATGAGCTACAAATATTGCAACAGAAACAGCGTCTGCAAGAAGAAGAACAAAAGCGTCTACAGGCGGACCTTGAGAAAGCAAAGGTCCAAGCAGAACGTCGCAAAAAATGGCGAGAATTACAACAGCAAGCTAGAGAGTCTCAACTTGAGTATGAACATGCTGTGAACGAGGAAGAATGTATGCGGGAAGAAGAGAATAGATCAATGAGACAAGGACTAGTCGAGTTACTCGGCAGCGAAACACTGGAAGATCGTGTTATGCGGCTAGGCCAGGATGAAACAAGGAATGACAATCAGGATAATTTGTTGAGTGGGCCAGAGCAACCGTTAGATAGGCAGAATACCACACACACCATTCCAGGGACAAATGGGGATAATCAGGTACATAGTGTTAGAGCAAGGGACATACAGGGAACTATAAATGAGACGGTGTATAACCCTGAACAGGCTAATAGATTTAGAGCTGAGAATACTATCCCAAACCTTTCACAGCCTAAAATTCAAAAAGAGACAGCCCCAACTGAAAGCCTTTTAGAGAAAATGCTACCTACCCTTATCAAGATGGAAAGACCTAAACTACCAGTATTCGACGGCAATCCGGTTGACTATGCTAGGTTCAAAGCTTGTGTTAAAGTAGAGATTGAACGGAAAGGGGTGTATGACAATGTTGAAAAGCTCAAATTTCTTCTTGATGCTGTGACCGGGTCGGCAAAATCCTGCTTAAAGAGATTTATCCCAGGATCTGAGAGATATAAAGAGGCGTGGCAAGCCCTAGATAATCGATTTGGTCAGCCAGACGTGGTAGTAGCCGCCGCAAAGAAGAAAATTGATGAGTTTCCTGACATTCCAACTGAAAATGCTGAGAAAATCAGAGAGTATCAAGAATTGGTTTCAGAGCTTGTTGGTGTCTACAAAGAACTTGACTTTGCACATGAACTAAAAGCTCAGTTACCTGAATCATATGTTAAGCGTCTCCCAACTCGCCTTTGTGCTCGATGGGGTGAAAAGGTCGAAGGTAAGCCTGAGCTGTCAACTTGGGAAGAATTTGCAATTTGGTTGGAAAAAGAAGCGAAATTATGTGAAGGGAAACAACGATGGATGCCAGAGAAAAGGGAGAGAAGGAAAAGTTCCTGGCAAAGTGGTAGTTACAAAGATACAAGAGGTGATCGATACAAGTCTGGAGTATTTGCTGGAGCCATGCACGAGTCTTCAAATAGAAATAGACCACGTACAGTCGCTAAATGCCCGATCCATGAATCAGGTAAACATACACTACAAGAATGTCGAAAGTTTACAAACATGTCAGTAGACGAGAAAGAGAAGTTGATGCTTGCGAACAGACTGTGTCTGTCTTGTCTAACTCCAGGACATAGATTGAGTCAGTGTGAAGTAAAGGTGAAATGTCGAGTAGAGAGCTGTGGAATGCGCCATCATACATTAGTCCATGAAGTGGACAAGAGGTTTATCGAAAGAGCGAAAGCCAAGAAACAAGAACATGGAACGGCGAAATCGCCACCACCTCCATCTCCTCCACCCACTAATGAACAAAATGTTGGGTTTTATGGTAAGACGGGGTATTATGGTAAAGGACAGGCTTTGGTAGAAGTCTTACCAGTAGTTTTCTATGGAAAGAACGGGGAAAGGCAGACAGTTATGGTCTTACGAGATAATGGATGTAATACAACCTTGATGGACGAAGAGCTAGCAGTCGAGTTAGGTTTGGAAGGCAGAGAAATAGGCCTTGAGTTACAAGGGATAAACAGTCAAAGAGTTGTGTCTTCAAAGCACATCAGTAAGTGTCAAATTGCTCGAGTTGGGAAAGAAGATAAGAAACTTTATTTGCGTGACATTAAGACAATCAAGGAGCTAAATGGCCCTGACCAGAAACTGCGATGGTCCGAGCTTAAACGTGACTTCCCACATCTACGTGATTTGGATATACATGACACAGATACTAATCCAGTACAAGTCATCGTTGGCACCAACAACTCCGAGTTGATACTCCCGAGAAGGATTGTGAAACCTGAACAGGTGTCTGACCGAGACCAATATCCATATGCGGTGGAGTCACGACTGGGCTGGGCAGTGACTAATTGGCTTCCGGGGAGAACCGTCTCGCAGTATTCAACAATGAAAGTGTATCATAGGGAAGTCAATGTTGATGATGATCTCAAGCGATTGGTCTTGGCTCAGTCAGCGGTCGATGCTATTGGTGTGATTAAAGTTGCAAATCCTGTAAGGTCAATTGAAGATAAACGTGCCTTGGAAGTTATGGAACAATCCACGAGAAAGATTGAGAACGAAGATGCTTATGAATCAGGACTTCTCTGGCGAGAGAAAGAACCGAACTTGCCCAACAATTATGAGATGGCTTTACAACGCCTACATTCGCTTAATAAGAAGTTCAAGTCACGTCCTGAAATGAGAGAAAGATACTCGAAGTCGATTAAAGAAGATGTTGGAAAAGGGTTCGTAAAGAAACTAACGAAAGAAGAAATCAATCAAACGAGTGATGTGATATGGTACCTACCTCACAGATATGTCATCAACCCGAAAAAGCCACAGCGCCTGAGACGAGTATATGATGCGTCAGCAAAGTATCAAGGACAAAGTCTGAATGATAATATTTACACAGGTCCGGACATGTTGTCTTCGTTGTTGGGAGTACTGTTACGATTTTGTGAAGGGCAGATTGCTTTGGCTGCAGATGTGAAGGAAATGTACCATATGCTTCGTCTGCCGGACCGCGATAAGCCAGCATTACGATTCTTGTGGCATGATAACGAAGATGCCTTGGAGCCTGATGTGTATCAGTTTGAACGGACTGTCTTTGGCGAAGTGTCTGCCCCATCCAGAGCCAATTATACAATGAGACGAAATGCAGAAGAGAACGGAGCGGACCTTCCCCTGGGAGTCAGAGCAGTGGAAAAACATTTCTACATGGATGATGGTTTACCATCAACAAACTCACAGCAGGAAGCTATTGAGATTAGGAAGCAAATGACCGAACTTCTCAGACGTGGAGGATTCTACCTACACAAATGGTTAACAAATGATCCTGAAGTGTTAGCTACGATTCCATCAGAAGAAAGATCACCGAGATTCTTAGAGTTGACTGATGGTAAGCTACCAACCGACCGTGCGTTAGGATTGATTTGGGACGCAGAAGAAGATACCTTGAAATTCACGGGTCCCGCTGGTACACCTGGGAAAACCAAACGGCAGATCCTTAGCCAATCATTCTCCATTTGGGATCCACGTGGGCTGATACTTCCATTCTCTATCAGAGCTAAGATGTTGTTACAGAAATTGCATCGTAAGAAGATCGGATGGGATGATGAAATCAATGATGATGAACTGAAGGAATGGTTCGCATGGTGTGAAGAAGTAAAAGAATTGAGCAATATCGAGATCCCAAGGGCTCTTATGGGTAAGCCCTGTAAAGATATGAGTTCAGAGATTCATGTTTTCTGTGATGCGAGTCAAGAGTCATATGGAGCCTGTGCGTATCTAAGGTGTGAATTCGAGGATGGGACGGTCGAGTGTCGACTTATTGCCGGAAAGGGTAGAGTGGCACCCTTAAAGGCTCATTCGATTTGTAGATTGGAATTGATGGGAGCTTTAATCGGAGCGAGATTAGCGGAGACTGTAGTTAAAGAACTGACAATTGAGATCAATGCTGTTGTATTCTGGAGTGATTCGACTACGGTACTACATTGGATAAAGCAGATAAGTTCTAGCTACAAAGCTTTCGTAGGAAATCGTGTTTCTGAGATCCATTCAGTTGTTCATGAATTGGAAACCAAGTTGGGAGCAGATACGGTGAGTTGGAGATATGTTCCTACAGATGTTAATCCTGCTGATGACATCTCTCGTGGGTTATCACCAAGTGAGTTGACCATGGGACACCGTTACCTGAGTGGTCCGGAGTTCCTGAAAACGGAAAGGGAGAATTGGCCAAAGAATAAAGTGAACCCCCCATCAGAAAGGGACACGGAAGAAAGAAAGGAAACCAAGTGGACAGGTACTTTTCAAGAGAAAACACCTTTAATCAGTTGGAATCGGTTTTCGTGTCTGGGAAAGCTAAGACGAGTGATGGCTTATGTGCTACGGTTTGTCACCAACTTGAGAAAGAAAACGGACGCGCGTATGTTTGGACATCTTTCGATCGGCGAGCTCAATGTAGCGCATGATTTCTTGGTAAAGAAAGCGCAGTCGGAATCGTTTGAAGAAGAGTTGAAAGTATTACAAAAGGGAAGTGACGTCTCGAAACGGAGCAGATTAAAAGCTTTTGATCCCAGGATTGAAAGAGGGTTTTTGGTTGTCGGAGGACGGATTAATCGAGCAGCAATTCCTTACGAATCGCGACATCCGGTCATCTTAGATCCAAAACATCATCTAACACACTTAATAATTGATGAGATGCATCGTGAATACCATCACCCACCCACGGAACATCTGCTGAATTTGATTCGTCAAAAGTACTGGGTTATTCACGGACGACAAATGGTACGAAACCGAAAGTTTAAGTGCGGCTATTGTCGAAGACAATCAGTTAAACCACACGTGCAAAAAATGGGAAATCTTCCAGCTTGTCGACTAGAAGCTGGTGTGGTATTTCAGAACACCGGAGTTGATTTCTTCGGACCGATGTTTGTCAAAGAAAAGCGGTCCACCCTCAAAGTTTACGGTTGTCTTTTCGTTTGTATGGCTACTCGTGCGTGTCATCTTGAGTTAGTAGATGACCTTTCTACCGACCATTTCCTAATGGCATTAAAACGATTCATGGCCAGGCGAGGACGGCCAAAACGAATCTACAGTGATAACGGAACAAACTTTGTCGGGGCTGATAACGAGTTAAGAGCCTGCCTTACTCAACTCGACCAAGAGAAAATACATAATTCGCTGACACCGCAGGGTATAGAATGGCATTTCCAACCACCTTTGTCTCCTCATTTTGGTGGTGCGTGGGAAAGATTGGTCCAATCTACAAAGAGAACCTTGAAAGCTATCCTGAACGATAGGGTTGTTGTAAAGGAGGCGCTCAGAACGGCGTTGGTAGAAGTTGAAGGAATTCTAAATAGTAGGCCTATCACCCAAGTGTCTAGTGATGCAAATGACTGGGAGGCACTTACCCCAAACCATTTGATCCTCTTGCGTGCTAATCCAGCTGTTGCTGATGTTCATGTTGAAGATAAGGAGATAAACTCTAGGAAAGTGTGGAGACAGTCGCAAGCTTTAGCGAATTTCTTCTGGAAAAGATTCATTACTGAATACATTCCAAGTCAAACGAGGAGGAAAAAGTGGACGGAGAAAGCTCGTAGTATGAAAGTCGGGGATCTAGTTCTTGTTGCTGATTCAAATCAATCTCGTGGGATGTGGCCAATGGGACGAATAACGGTAGTCTATCCCGGAGCTGATAAAGTGGTTAGAGTCGTGATGGTCAAGACGCCACAGGGAGAATACAAAAGATCAGTCACCAGACTATGTCTTTTGGAAGAGGTGGACAGCGATGATGGTTGTCTCGGTGGTTCCTCGACTGGGGGTGGGGATGTTCCCGCTTCTGGGGATTGAGAACTGGCGCGAGCCCTGAGAAACTGTGAGGGGCCCCCGGCAAAAGAATTCAGTATTCGCACATTGTTGACTTTTGGACGATTTTAGTATTTTGGACAGTTTTACGTACATTTTATGGTTATTTTGGGGATTTGTTTCGATTGATATTACAATGTTTTGTTGATTTTGAGTTCGTGTGAGTGTGTTTGGTCGCCCCGCGACAACAATCATACTGCCAGAAAAGGACTTGTACAGAAATGTAAACATCGACATTGTGTAGTAAATAGTATCAGTATGTTTTGTGAATGAAGATGTTTGATTCTGCATGGGACAGCCATAAGCATACATTTAGCTGATATGGCTTTAAATGCATGCATTGATATTTGGGTACTTATTTCAGAAAGGAAATGTCGTGGATACGGCTCTGATTGAGCTACCACTTATTGGGAAACTAGTGGCGTCAACATTAGCAATGATACTAACCTGTAACAAATTCGCATGAGATAGCCAACTCTTTCACCAAGTACCGGCAGCTGATTTCCCTCTTTGGGAGCATTCTCTATTTTGGCAATTCCAGTTTCAATTTCTAGAGTCACGAGCCACTTGTACAGTTCTTGATCATCATTCAATAATTTTTGAAATTGAAACGTTGGCAGGTTTCCTTCCTCAGACAATTCTTGACCCCATAATTTAATCCCTTTCTTCAACACACCATCCGGTTGACCTTCACCAGGTGGACGATACCTGTTGCAAAAAGAATATCGATCGAAGTTGTGATTTCCATTCATGATCTAATAACGGCCTCTTTTTATTCGATTCCTTGTTTAATGTAAGATATTTAATAAACACCCGTGACGCGACGTTTGTTAGATCATTTACAGTAATTGCGCAATTACAAATAATCAATAAGCTATAAAAACTGTACACTAGGGAAAATCAGACTCGCTCGATAAGTCTAACAACGTACGATGTCTACAGACAAAGCCTTACCGACAGAGGCAAAGCTTTGACGACAGAGACAAAGCCTTAACAACAAATTGATTCGCTCAATAATCTGGTCTGTGTTTGAGACACTGTGATATTATTTTGTGATCAGGGATTATTTTAAAGAATATTACAGCACAAAAGACATAAAATAGGGTCAGACAATTCTTCTTTAAAAGACAAACAAGGCTCCGAACTTAGTGCCATGATCAATGACACATTTACTGTGCTCTATTAGATTTTTGAATCTACGAAGTAGATTATATGCTATCGACGTGTTAGCTGCATGTCAGCTGGTCACTGTTAACGTAGCCAATCAGCGACTAGTATTACCAAGAATTACGTAATTACAAATCACGGCTAGCTTGGTTGCGAGGCAATCCAGTATGGCGGTAAAGAGGGGTTAAAATTTATGATTTATATTTACTCACGCATTGAAATATGATGAATTGGAGATGAAAATGGAGCGAATCAAGGTAAATCAATCTTGGAACTACGTGTCTGTTTTGTAGTAGCATGCTTGCTGTACGCTTTTCAGCAATTTACGAAATAGCACGTATTGGTTTTCGAAGCGTCTACCATGTTTCCTATTAAATTTTTTGAAGTCATCTGGACACTTAACAGGCATTTGGGTCCGTTTTGGCGTTCGAATGAAGGCGAAATTTGGTAAAATATGAGCTGCAGAATTATTTTAATGTATAACAACCAGCGGAGAAGTAAGCCCGGAGAAGTAAACATTGGACGCATCGAGGGTGGTGGAAGTTTCCCGAACTTACTGAGCGAAGCGAGGTGAGTTCGGCAAACTTCCAGCCACCAGAGGTGCGTCCAATTCCGGACTCACCGAACCTGCAAGTACGTTTGGTTTTTATCCCATACACCGAGCCGTACACACATTTGTGGCTCTTCGCGATATATTCGTCGATGTTGTGTGAACATTTTCCCGGCCAAAAAAATCACTGGGCAAGAACATACTTCTCTTACTGCATTTTTTCTTTGGTGTTTCTTCAGTCTCAGTATGTTAGTCACCGAAAAAAGTTCTTTAAAGTTTAGGTTTATCGGCTAAATCTTGTCCACCATATTTGTTATTGTTATTGCAACTTAAGCAGTTTAGCGCGTGAGTTCGGACGAAAAGCAGGCAGGGGCGGCGGAACGGATTTCAGTTTGGGGGGGCTAAATATTTTTTCATGACCTCCCACCCCCGTCGCCAAAAAAATTTAGGTCAGTGTACCATTTTAGGGGTAGAAAAATTTTTCTGGACATATACAAGAAAAGGGATGAAAAAAATTTTTCCAGACCTATAACAAAAAATTTTTCCGGAAATACTCGATTTTTAAACAAAATATCCCAAATTTTTCCCATTATACCTAAATTTTCCAAAAATAACCTACATTTTTTCTTAATTATCAAAATTTTTCCAGAGAAAACAAAATTTTCTGGGGGGGCTTAGCCCTCCACTTTTACTTCCGGGGGGGGGCTTTAGCCCCCCTAGCCCCCCTGTTCCGCCGCCACTGAAAGCAGGTGAGTTCGGCAAAAAGCAGGTGAGCTCGACGACAAACGCACCTGCTCTAAACCAATCAGAAAGCCGCTTTTAACACAGGTATGGGATAGTGGTCAAATGCTGTCAGATATTTCGCGTTACACGAGCATGCAATCAGACACGGAAATAATCATTGACACGGACTTGGAACCCAGGTTCAGACCATTCTTCTCAGACAAACAAGGCTCCGAACTTAGTGGCTTGACCCAATGAAACATTTACTGTGCTTCATTACATTAAGGTAGCTTTGGCCAAATGGAGCTTTGGTCAAATATACTCGCGGAGCGATAGCTTCTTCACCGTAAACCGCCACGAAAATTGAGGTTATTCGCTCTCTCAAATACTCCTCAAGGCCCGTTTACACTTGCAATTTTTGCTGTGATTTCTAATTCGATTTTGTCCTTCTGATGCATGCGAATGAGTAGATGAGTTACGAATATTCGGACGACATGTACCCACATCTGAACATTCACAACTTATCTACTCGTTCACATACATCAGAAGAAGAAAATCGCACTAGCATTCGCAGCAAAAATCAGCAAGTGCAATCCAGCCTCAAGAATTTGTTTTATAGGGCGAGGCACGGGTACCCAAGTTATCTCTGTTTATTTTGCGTTTAAAACTATGGGAACCGAGCTGAATGGCCCTCCTGATCAGCAAGATTTGAAGCGGTGAGACAAAAAATTTGCCCTCATACTTTTCGCGCAATGGAGCGTTGAATTCACGCAGGGCAATAGAGCTCAGCGGATGGAATCCAACTGGTAGTGGCATGTTGAAGGAGTACGAATATGAAACATAAAATATCAAATTGAACTGTCTCGCAGTATCTGTTTTAATTTCATTGTTAAAAGCTTCAAATTTGTCGTGAACTTTTTTTCGCTTTTGTTTCAGTATTTATATTAAACATTACATTATGTACTTAGAATGAGAGCTGATGAGAGTTGACTGTCACGCAATGGTATATGGACATCGCAAATGTCAAGCCCTATATACAAACATATAAAGGCTTGATGGGTCTTTTAACTATGGTTGAAGAAGTTGTTGCAAAAGCGTTAAGAATCAAGAAGAGCTAACTAATTGCAAGGCCTCGTTTGATCCCCACGGTTTGTAATGATTCATAAAATTGGCGAAATGTCAATTCAACCACTAAAACTACAGGTCGACATGTTAAGGCCAGACACACCGGACGCGATTCGACAGCGCGACGCAATTTTTCGCTTTTCATTGACCGATAACCTTGATTCTAGTTTAAATTTTCCAAATATTTAGAAGCGGTATAACATTTTGAGTTATTTCGTCCGCATATCTTTCAAAATTTGGTCTCATGCATTGGCTGTTTTATTAACTTTCAAAAACTAAAAAATCGCGTCGCGTTGTCCGGCGAATCGCGTCCGGTGTGTATGGACCTTTAGCGTTTCCCCCCGCGTTGACATTAAAAAATTACCGTTTTCCATTGAGTATGGTCTGTTGTATGCATATATAATAGCTAAAATTGCAATTCACAGGAATTATAAACTTAAACGGCAAACGTCACGTCAAACCGCGCTAACGAAGTTTTTGGTTTTATATGCAACTCTATAATAACAGCTTTTACACCATGCAGTTTTGAAATATTATATATTAAACAATTATTTAACTTGTGGTATTTAGCAATGATTTAAGAAAGCAAATGAACCGCTGGTCATGTAATCACATGCAAAGCAGTAAATTAAGATTTACTGTTTGAACGTTACGTTTAATTGGTGTATATAAATTTCATGCATTAACGACTACAAGCCCTCGTAGCAGTTCAAGTATGAAATTTATACCCCAAACGTCAACTTCAAACGCCAAATCTTAGTTTACTGCTTTGGTGAATACATGACTAGTGGTTAATTTGTTTTCTTAAATCATTGCTAAATACAACATGTTTAATAATTGTTTAATATATTTCAAAACTGGTGTAAAAGTTATTATAATAAAGTTGTAAAATCAAAATTTTAAACTGACTTCGTCAGCGGTTTGAAGTTTGCCGTAAACCTCAAGCTTAAGCTTAAGGTCTCTTGGCACACAGCCTTGCTATAACGTGTTAACTGCATGGCATTATCTTGATGGATGGAATATGTCAACTGAAGAAAAACACGATATCAACTCCCTGCATGGTGACTTAACTTTTAGAGCGACAATGCGTGCAACAGTATTTTACGGTTGTAGACGAATCGAGCTAGCGCTATAGAAGCGGCAACTATTACCTGAAACATTACAAAAACGGATTATTGTGTAGCCTATATATGTAGCCTAAATAGGTTAAAGACATGACATTTCTAAAGATTTGAATAATGCAAATCATTAAAAATCTGCATAGATAGTACATGTTGCTAATTATGGCTATAGTCTTGAATATGATTGCAGCGACTACATACCTCAAATACTTTAACCATTCAAATGAATACTGACTCGTATGACCATCTTCCCAATTAACTTCCAACTGATCATCCTCAGTATTCCAGACAGCTGACTCTGCTGTAATATCGAGATTAACTTCCTTCGGCGAATACATTGTACGTGATTTCCTTTCATCTGTATAACATGCTGGACAACGGCAATTCTCGCGAAGATAAACATGCGGAAATTCATCGACATTGCCGTCGTTCCACTTGATCACTAAGCATTCGTTCTCGTTCTTATAAACATTTTGAGCCGCATTGTATGAAGCCGATAATGTTAACCAGCGATGTGTGCTGTTATTTACTCTTTCTCGACCACCCCCTTTCGCATCAGATTACGACACAATTTTTCTAATATAAATATCTCGGTGAGCATTTACCCCCCTTGTAAATAAAAGCCACCATTGAAATCCTCATAAAATAACCTTTCGAACGGGGGGTCAAGTGCCGTCAGAGCATTACACAAACCGAAACAATCATATATTTACTCACCGCTTGGCCACAGATTCTAGATTGAAATATCTACAAGATCTTGAATATCTCTTGAACTTTTCGTCATTTTCTGAACGGCTATATGTGTAAAATACTCTTTGTATCCAAGCGCTTTCGTGTAGAAAGTTTCGTATGTATACGCCGACTAGAAATATTTATTTTGAATTTTTCAAGATATCGGGTTTTACTCGCACTTGCGAACATTGCGCAATAATTGGCCAATAAGAAGCTCCTGTTGGCCGGTATGACGTCAAACTCACGCGTGTAGGTGCAATTTGACCTTGCAAACCCATTTCTGGCCTTTCCAGGGTCATACGATACAAACGTCGCATTGTTTTGACGGTTTTCAGACGTATTTCCGGTTGGGATTAACTCACTTCGAGCTCACAGTCGGACAAGAAATGGAAATATGTTGATAAAAGATACATATTTGAAGATACAGGCTTGCAAATAACACTCTAAATAGTGTTTTTGATGGGGATTCGAACAAGACTATTACAAAGACGATATGTGCGAAGGGGCCGAAGTTATTTTCAGCGAAAGGTATGGCTAGTCTATATTTTGTTCAGACAATTGCATAATTTGATACAATATTATCGTGTTTGACTTTCAAAGGCCCATAAATCGTTACAATGTTAATGACTATAACTATCGTTTGGAACTAGTCTATCTTTTATTTCTGAATCGATTGGTGGTATTTCTGTCTTCATAGCATGCACTGAACCGAAAGTATGAAATTTATAGCCGTCGATCGCTCAGGATCGACGCGATATGGCCTGTGGCGAGAAAGAGTTCCCTTCGCCTTCGGCGAATAATTGTTAAGAGGAGATTTTTTTGTATGTTATGTGACACGCGCTCAAAACTAATTCGTATAACATATCACTTGAGGTTATGACTAAATTGAAGATTTTTATTTTTCGATACGTTTCTCAATCAGCAAACAAATTTAAAAAATATGTTTAGTGCTTTATCTGTAAAATAATGCTAAAATGAAGAGATTTTAGATGATTCGTCAAATAGAAAATGACGCCTGAAGTTCAGTAAGTTTTGCTTTTTGGCTGTAAATGCGTCAATTTTAAAGCATCATTGATAATTGTGTTTTAGTTGACGATTTTAAACTATTATTTTATGTATCTCAACCGGCAGATGCATTTAAAAAGGTTGCGAACGTGAATAAACTAGAGAATAAAGCTAAAACAATGTAATTTTGAGAGGAACGCCAAAAAGATTTTAGGTTTTGAACACTTTTCATTGCAAATACGTGACATTGAAAAAAATTGCCTCTTAATTATCACACTTTTGCACAATAAAATTAGATATGCTCTGCCTGATTTACTACGATACCTCGCCAAAATGGTTTGATTTTAGTATTAAGCATCTCGGCTTGAATTATCATTGCGAACCAATCAGAATGCTGTCAAATTGAACAGCCACTCAAAATTTCTAAATAGAGTTCCTTTGCCGAACCTATATACCGCATGCAAATAAGGTTAAGCGATGAGATTTATGATAAGCTAGCCACTGACACATTGTAACCATGCTGTCCCTACGAGTAAAAGCACGCAATTTGCTTGGAACTCAACTGTGGCGTTTAATTAAGACCTAACCAGGAACGACTGCAAAAAATGCAGCACAATGTCCTATGGAAGGAAGTGAACCTACGGCTCTGTGATTCCGGTGCAGCGCTCTAACCAACTGAGCTACAGAGGCCAGCTGTTGAGCTTTAACCGTAAGTTCATGTATATTTAAGTAATCGGGTGTGCGGGTTATGATAAGGTGGACTTCAATAATTTGGATTCTTGCACTTCACTTGTTGGGATTAATATTTGAATGTTAGGGTTTGTAATCCAAGTGAGAATATATACATTTTAAGACCTAACAAGGAACGACTGCGAAAAATGCAGCACAAGGTCCTCTGGTAGGAATTGAACCTACGGCCCTGCGATTCCGGTGCAGCGCTCTAACCAACTGAGCTACAGAGACCAGCTGTTGAGCTTTAACCGTAAGTTCATGTATATTTAGGTAATCGGGTGTGCGGGTTGTGATAAGGTGGACTTCAATAATTTGGATTCTTGCACTTCACTTGGTGGAATTAAAATTAGAATATTAGGGTTTGTAATCCAAGTGAGAATATATACATTTGCATATTCTCACTTGGATTACAAACTATTCTCATTTGGATTACAAAATATATACACCAAATATATACATGTACTATACCGGTACATTTGTATATTCTCACTTGGATTACAAAATATTCTCACTTGGATTACAAAATATGTCATGTATATTCTCACTTGGATTACAAACCCTAACATTCTAATATTAATTCCACAAGTGAAGTGCAAGAATCCAAATTATTAATTTCAAATGCCCCGCCGGGGCTAAGGTTCGAGTGGAAATGCCCAACCCCCGGGATGTGCTTTACAGTAAAATGGCTGGGCGAGGGGGATGGGCACACTTGGATTTGGCTGATGCATTAAAATCCTGTGCTTTATATTCCAGACTGCTTGTCAAATATTTACTTGCTAGAAGTAGAAATTTACTCTGACCGCTGGATGAAGAAGACATTAAATAAGTACTGGTCAATAAACAGAAATGTATTTTATTTCATAGTATTACAATTTTATTTTTATACTATAAAAATAAAATATAAACATGCAGCATAGAATATGCAAATTCGAGGCAAAATTATTGTTGAATCGGTTTATTTATAGGATTTATATAAACAAATAGCAACTATAAAAGTTTGTACCTTGTCTTCACATCGCTTTATTCTGTTAGCCAATGCTTTTAAATTTACATATTTTAGAATCAGTTCCTTTCCTGGCATAGATATCTTATATACACTAGATAGCGCATCTCTTTTAGTAAAATTGAAGCCAAGAATATTCCAGCGGTTACCCCCATTTGAATAGATGGCGGCCATGTTGGTCGTTCCCACTCGCGAATAAACGCTTGAAAACAACAATAACTTTCATCATTTGAATAGTTTAAAAACGTATTTGGAATAGAGTTAACTTAATGTTTAAGTTCCCTGTTTAAGAAATAGAAAACATACGAATCTTCTCATTTCATGGGAACGACCTGAGACTGCAATCACGGCTTCAATTTTCGAATTGCAGAATAATTAGATGCACTATCTAGTGTATATAAGATATCTATGTTTCCTGGTAACTGCATTTCCAAATGAAATCATCGTGAGTAGTGAGTGCTGAGCAGGCCGTTTTACTATAAACAGGTTTTAGGAATTGATAACAACTTTGAAAAATATATCGTTGCACATTCGGTCACAGTCGGAAAAATGTTCATAGTATGTTGTACCGTCGTTTGCAACTAACGATGAACAGTCGCTCATAAAAACATTGGCGTGATTAGAATCTTCAATGTTTGTCAAGAACAACAACACTTAATTGTTGTTTCCCATGTGTGCAATAAAAATAAGTAACAAAACTTTGTCTGAACTTGTTGGGCTAGAGACCTACTGGACCGACTTTTACAGGCTTTTTAATGAAAATAGAGAATGTTTTATCTGCAACTGTTCACCCTTAGTTGCCACCGACGGTATTTGATAACTGATATAAATAAAATACAGTCTGGTTATACTGACTTGAGCCTGTCATGACAAACTCTTTATTGGAAAATTGTGAAGAAATAGTCGAATATAGAGGGTCGAATATCATACTTAAACTTGTATAGCTACAGTATCATTGGTACATAGCGTTGTGAAGACAAGCCTTTGCTTTAATACCTTTCGCTTCAGCAGTCTCTTTTCCCCATGCTTCTCCACGCTTTCCCAGGCGAGCTTCTCTTTCCTCAGCAGTCTCCTCGAGCAAACGTTGTCGTCTTCGCTGGCTCCCTCCTTTTCGCGAGACGTTCGGCTTTCTTTTCGTTTCCTTGCCGCTCTTCATTTGGCTCCATACAGTAGCCCATATCTTTTCAATTGGTATTTGATACCATAATTGTTTTATTAAACTCTTTATAGAGCAAATTGCTTTGAAAGCTGTCAAAGTTTTTTGCAAACGTACAAAATACTGCAGTGCAAAAACCAAATTATTTTCATGAAGTATCTGTCAGTTGAAGTCGTGATTTGTCATACAACAACAAATTTTAAATTTGACCAATATTCAGTGTTCGCTATCCATGACAGTCCGCCATCTTTTTGAGATCAGTGAGGATGACCACCCACGCACAGTGACCCACGCCCGCGATATTTGATGAACTTTAGACTTGGCCATAGATATAGGAGACCTAGTTTGCTGACTCGGCTGAAGAGGCGCGCCAAATTTGAAAATCCAAGATGGCGGCTCAACCGGTCAAAAATCATAGAGCGAGATAGGGAAAAACCATGTTTTTTGCATTTTACGTCGTCCTACTGTTTCCGATCCCGTTGAACCACCTTTTTTTTTGGAAGAACTAACTGGTGTGAAAGTTTTGGATGTATATTTGTTATAATTAGTACGATTTACAGTTTAAAATTCAACCGGGCAAGAATGGGCAAAGACGAAAATGGCGCGAAACTGCCGGCCTGGTTTCTTATCCTGTGTATTCCTTCAGTCTTTTACCAGGTTTTCTAAAGTAATGTAACATATATCTGATTATTCCAAAAGTTACTATTATTTATTTTGTTCTTTCATTGTTATTTCGACGAAAATACAGTATTTTCATCTGAAAATTCTAGGGCATTCTATTCTAAAAAATCTGTTTTTCTATCGAAAAGAATGCCTTGAATCTCGGCCTGTTTTGTGTGCTGAGTGTAACTGCAAGGCCAGACATGGGGATTTAAAAGATGGTATTCGCTTGTCCTTCCATAAGTAAGTCTATGAAACACACATCGTATATTTCAGTGTACACTATAACATACTTCATATAAACAGAATAGTACAAGACTATTAAAATAAGACAGCTTTTGATAGCATAAAAACAATTTGTTTTTTAAATACAATAATGACACCAAATGTAGTTTTGAGCTTGTTGCCTACAATATAAAACTGTTTACAGTTTTAGTAAAAGAACATTAGACCAAAAGAACTTCTTGTTTTGGTGTCTGTGTTAGAAGTCTATATATAATTATATATATGCATGTTGACAATAACTTTCATAGAGGTCCTTGCCTGTTGAAGGTCAAAAAATAATTGAGTTTTGTTCACATCAGTGAACCAAAAAACATATTTCCCTTCA